TAAGAAACATTACAAATTTTCAAAACAACAGAGAGAAAAACAGAAGCTAAAAGCTTCCAAAGAGGAAAAACAGGTCAGAAACAAAAAAATCAATAATCAAAATGGCATCAGACTTTAATAGCAAGACTGGGTGCTAGGACACAACAGAACAATGCCTTGAAAAATAGGAAAATGATTTCAAACGGTTAAGTGGGAGGTTAGAATAAAGAAATTTTAGAATGCAAGATTTCCAAAAATTCTACCTTCTCCAAACCTTTTCTCAAGATACTTACTGCAGAATATGCTCACTAAAACTAGGGCATAAACCAAGTCAAAGTAAAACATAGGATCCAGGAAATGAGGTTCAACTCAGAAGAGAAGGATGGGTTATTCCTGGCATAAGGGCAAAGGGAAGCTGAGGAACCAGCTAGTAACAAGCTGAGGAACCAACTAGTCCATATTGGAACAGGATGACAAAGAGCTCTAGGAGAGGTTCCCCAGGAAAAATAAAAACATAGAAATATGTTTGATCTGTGAAAATGCCATATTAGAGGCATTTTATAGAGCTTTTGGAAGATGTAGGACAACTTAGCTAGAGAGCCAAAGAAAATTATGTAAACAAAATAGGCACTTATTAACTCCAAGGGAAAAAAAAAGTTGTACAAGAAAGGTAGACATAACAGATCTACTTAGCTGAATACTGAACAATATTTACTTAGAGAGTTAAAATCCTCATTTAATATTATAAGATGTTGGTAAGTAACATCTAAAATTATTAGGAGAAAATGAACATTACTATAAATGCAGAAAAAACAAGTAAGAGTTAATGTCACTGACTCTAGGGAACTGGAAGGGGTAGAGGTGGGGGATTGGGTGGCCTCTGTTTTTTTGGTATGCATCTTTTACCGTTATTTGACTTTATAAACCCCGCATTTATTATTTTGGAGATATATAGATATACTATATAGATATTACTTAGAAGAGATAAAATACTTTTACAGCAGCTAACAGTACTCACCACTCTACCAAGGAAAGAAAGTTAGAAAATCAATGTTGCTCCAATAGTCTTAATAATACATGACAGGTGTACTATTCCAAAGGACGTTAGCTCTGTGCTTAAAAGACTTAAGGTCTTTTAAGGAGACCAAGACTTAGAAAAAAAGAAACCAGATCTTCAGAAGCAGTCATATAATCTGGCCAGTGAGCATAGATTCAAACTCATCTGAACCACATTCCAACATAAACAAAACCAAGGAATTTTTTTAGGTCTTCTAAAAGCATGCAGTATGGCATTTGAAAAACTAACAAACCACTGCGTTCAGATAAGATAAACAAAGGAATCTAGGGAAAAAAAGTATTTTTTATTATCCACAGGCAGTCAGACTATATAATTCACTTATGGCACATTTCAATTTTATTTTGACAGTATGTTACAAACTTACTTCTACATGCAGGCATCAGTCTAGCCAGAACTTTAAGGGCACTTTTTTCTTAACCATAACACTTATTCTTCTCTATCCAAAGGTATTTCCGACAAGAGATGGCAAACTCAGAAAAGAAGCAACTCCATTAGTCTCAAAGATGAATGATCTCAGCATAGAATGCCCAATGGGGAAGAGAAATACTAAAAAAAAAAAAAAAAAAAAAAAAGCTAAAAGGAAAAAGTGCATTAGCTTTCTAACCCCTTTAGGAATCAAAATGATTCCTTTCATTTTTATGTGTTTTAGCATTTCAGAACATTATAAATACCCTCATTTAAGCAGGCAGCCAGCACAATGGCCCATAGCCTCCCTTCTTTTCCCTCAAATACACCAAACTCCTCCCCAGTTGTGCCAGTTATTCTCCCTTACGCCACCCGCACAACCACCACCAGATCCCTGCCTTCCCATCTCTGCCCCCAGGAAGATGATCCCTGCTGTGTGCATCTCTAGAGAGCGCTTGCTGGCTGGCTGCCAGTTGGGTTTGGTCAACAGGCAGCCCCAGCAGATCAGGTGGAGGGTCTTTCTTTCTGACTCCCTCCCTGTCTTGGGCACCACATCTTTGGCAACCGCTGCATCCCATGGCAACCCTTCCTTCCTGTTCTCACTCTCCCTGAGATCTAGTAACACTATTTCCCCTTGACCCCCTTGCTCTAGAGGCGGTAATGGCTTTAGGCTGTGGCTAGTCTATCCAGCCTCTCACCGCTGCTTGTTTCTTCCTTTCAGGCTGCCCATATCTCTAAGCAACTCTTAACTTCTTTTCAATTGAACCAGCTAGGGTAATTCTATTACCAGCCAGAACTCTGACCAATTCATGATCTCAAAGCCTTTTTGCACTTCATGTTCACTATACCTAACGTGTTCTTCACTTAGCCCTTTTGTATACTGGCTCCTTAGAGATCAGGTGTCAAACTCCTATCACCCTCCTCAGAGGGGCTTCCCTGACCACCAAATCTAGTATCAGCTCCCACCTCAAGCACTCTCTTAGTCCCTTCCATTTTTATCATCTCTCTTTCCTAGAAATTAAGCTCCTAAAAGTAGGAACCTAACTAGGCTGTCTTGTTCACCTTTTACCCAGTGTACAGCATGGAGTCTAATAACAGCAGGAGTTAAAGACTTCGTGTGAAATGACGTGGTTTCAAATCAAACTTAAAAAAAAAATTCCTTCAAGTTTAATTTTTAAAGCAAAAGAGTCCCAAGACAATCTCCAACTCTTATGGGATGTTATTCCCATAAGCAGGTAAAACTCATTTAAAATGAATGCAAATGTCTGGTAGAACATAATTTCTTAAGAATATTCCCGCCTATAACACTAGTTCTCGATTGTTTTCTGTAGCAATCCAATAACTGATTATATTCCCACATGGGATACACTGTCAGGGTCTATCAGATAACGGGGACTAGTCCAAAGATTTAACAGGCTCAGATGGTGTTCAATCCCCCAAAGGTAGCTCTAATTCCTACTACTTTCAAGAAAGCAATTGTGAATATGAGAATTAAGTTATTATACAGTATCATAGGGATATGCATGAGTCAACTCTTATTTATTTTAAAATTAAGACCCATCAAGCATTTGTAACAATTCACTGCAATTCAAACTTAACTACCAGAGCCCCATAACCCAAGAGTATGAATGTGAACTAAAGGGCCACTCATCTAAACCAAAATCTGACCTATTATGGATCAGAAAAGAAATACTAGACAAACAGATCAGTTTAGACAGTTGATCCTTCTACAACACAGGTTTAAACTGCATAGGTCCACTTATACATGGATTTATTTTCAGTAAACATGTTCTACAGTACTACACAACCCCCGGTTGGTTGGATCCTCAGACGTAGAACCGAGGATGCAGAGGGCCAACCATAAAGTTATACGCGGACTTTCAACCGCAGGCAGGGTGGACACCCCTAACCCCTGCATTATGCAAGGGTCAACTGTAAATTAGTTTCATGTTACGCTTTTCTAATGATCATCTCCACAAGAATTAAAGCTAGTAAATGCCCAAAATAATTTTATATAGAACTTTAGCTCTAAGTTAATATATTCAGTCAAACATCTTTTCATAAACTGTTCTTATTTTCCATATAAACACAGAGAATTCCTGGAATGTAGATTTCTATAATTATACTTAACTTACTTTAAGCTTTTATTAAAAATGAAAGAAGTCCAAGAGAACAATTTATATGCAACTATACAATGTTTAAGTGGCTTTCCTATTCCTGTTAAAGCTTTATATTTAAAATGTCTACATAATATGTGCTTCACAGGCTTGACACTATCGAAGTTTACCACACATGTGACTCTAGCAGCTTTACTGCACAATGATCTACGTTAACACTGCATATTTGTTTAGCTCACCCTATGTCATAAAGTGCTATTCATAGGTGGGAAAGGAACAAAGCTTACTAAACACTGAAATTCTCCATGATATTTCCTACCTCAGTCAGGGAAAAGAAAGCTAATTTAGTGCTACCAACCTGAATAGCAGATTTCCATTTATATATATATATATATAACCAGAAAGAAAAAAAAAAAACAGATCTAAGAGTTTTGTTTAGTCAATTAAAATATGTCAAAAAGAATTCCAAGATGATTAATGCTAGATGCCTAACAGTCTAGTTTCTGAATACTCTAACTTAAAACAAAAACTAACCAGTTTAAATAAAACCACCCAAGAAAGAATCTTCCAAAAATGAAGATAAAATTTAGATAAAATGAGATTCTTCAAATTCAAAGAACTTTTAACTTTAACAAAGGGTACACACAGTCGTTATGATTTTAATTATTATTCCTAAACAATTAAATTTGTATTTTTACTTGCTTATATGACAAATGCTTACTACCAATGAGTCATAGAAAATGCCATACAACTGACCAGATAGTTACTTCACATTTTATAATATGTTTAATGACACTAAAAATGTATCAAGAACTTTTCAAACATGCGAACATAAACCAGAACAATCTGATATATAATATTTGTGCCAAAGAATGAAAATTACAAGACACAAAGAGAAAGCAAAAGTATATGACAATTATCAGTGTATCTTCACTAATATTTATGAAAAATAATTATTTGATATAAGCTCAAATATTTTCATAGAGGAACTAAAAAAAAATTGAAGAAAAAAAATTTCCCAAAAAACCATATGAAGTGAAAAGCTTCGTGTATTATGGGGCTTCCCTGGTGGCGCAGTGGTTGAGAGTCCGCCTGCCTATGCAGGGGACACGGGTTCGTGCCCCAGTCCGGGAGGATCTCACATGCCGCGGAGCGGCTGGGCCAGTGAGCCATGGCTGCTGAGCCTGCGCATCCGGAGCCTGTGCTCCGCAACGGGAGAGGCCACAGCAGTGAGAGGCCCGCGTACTGCCAAAAAAAAAAAAAAAAAAAAAAAAAAGCTTCGTGTATTAGCCAAGAATTTTGTGTTTCCTGCAAGAAACCATGTTTCCTACACATGCAAGTATGGGTATTACAGCTAAGAGAACTCTTAAAAAATGTCCTTAAGAATACAGTTTGTGGTCTTCAAAAAAAAAACAGTAGTATTCATTTTCCAGGCAATATATTCTGAATATTAAATACATAATTTTTCATTTAAATATACTACCGTTTCTATGGCCTTTTTTTACCTATCTATACCTTTGTTTTCCCATTAAAAATGAATGCACAACACAAGGCTTAGTACTAATTTCTATCCAGAAGGCATTTAAAAAATATCTTCTCTTAGGACATAAACATGATATAAAAATGAAAAACCAAACACAAAAGAAGCACAATAAATACTTTTGTATCCCCTCCCCCAACCCCGAAACAGGAATGTAAGTATCAGCAACACAAGCTGACATAAATAAATTAGATTTTCCGTGCATAAAAAGATAATCCAGTTAACCATTTCAGTGTTAACTATGAAAAAGTACCTTTTTCCCGGTGTTTGTGAAAGGCAGGAAGGCTGTTTAGGCTTTCGGTTTTAAGAAGAAACATACACAAATAACAAGTGTGGCGACAGGATACTTAGATGATATGTAATGAGTTACAAAGGTTAACACCAAGGCATTATTTTGCTCACATTTTTTATCCTAAGTCACATCAGATGCTTAAACTACACGGTCTCTTGGTATTCTAGATATTTTGCTGTGATGGGTTCTTCAAGCTGAATTCCTCCACTGCCCATTAATGCAAATGCTGGGTACATAGTATGCGAACAGTCCACTTGGCGCTCATAAAGGCATTTCATGTGATCCATATCATAGAAACCCACTTTGCCTTTATCATAGTCGAGGAAAACCCCTATACTTGTTGGCATGGGGAGAACTCGGTTTTCAGGTTCATTAGAAGAAGTAGGTGACTTGGGAATAAAAAATTTCTTCATGCCTATAGTAACTAACGTAAAGGGTTGTGAAGAATCAAAACAGGTATCCTCACTTCCGCTGTCATGCCCACTGTCTTGCTCGTATCTAAAATGCAACACAGACAGACAAAGCAGAATCTTATCTGTATCAGCATAGGCTTTCAAGTAGCTTCAAGACATTTTCACAAGATAATATATATTGAGTTAAAATTAAAATCAATTGTACATCAAAACCTTTCTGGTAAACCATAATCAATTAAAAACATAAGGACTACACATTGCCACTTAGAACTACACCACAAACTCAGCCCCAAATTCTGTCATTAAGTAGCATCCATTTTACCTATATTATCTGAGAACCTAAAAATAATAATTTTGGCCTATCAAAAATAAAACAGGGGGAAGGGAACTGAAGGGACTTGACAAAGATTAAATATTCCTAGCACAAAAATCATATATAAAACAATTAAAAACCAAGACAGGCCCCCTAATCCAAGGAATTATCAGACTAAGTAAAATAAATGGGCACTGCAAAATAATGCAGGAGAAAAAACCATGTTTCATTCTCCTGCTAAGAACTATATCTACTGGTTGGGAGCTCTGCATGGATCTATAATGCAAGCAAGTATTATGAAGGTTTTTTTTCCCCCCTTGATTATAAAACAGTAACACCTTGAAGAAAATTTTGATACAAAGTTCCTTCCATTTTTTCCCTATGCATAGATTGCTTCTTATATATTTGTGATAATACTACATCAACAACTTTAATCAGGTCTTTTCACTTCTAATATTTCTCATGTTGTAAACTTTTTTAGCATTATTAATAATCATCTACCAAGTAGACATGCCACTATGTTTAAGGGACTATTTCCCTATTTCAATTTTCGCTGTTATTTCAATTTCTCATCTTGGTGCAAAAAGTTTTTCCTATTACTCAGATTGTTAATCTGGGATTTCTGTAGACATAAATGGTCAAAAATTACTTGACTGGACTAGTGCACACTATACCATCTAACAAAAATAAACTGTACAGTCTCCATTAAGTAGTCAAACTCAAGAAACTGGAACTCTCTGCCATGGAAACACGTTTACCATGACCCAATTTTGTAAGTACTTACGGGACAGTTTAAAGAATTGTATCCTTTAACAAAAGAACAACTTAATATCAATTGTGAAGTATGGCATTTAGAGGCATTTCACTATTTATGCAATTTTATCACATCATTAAGGTACCTGATTGAAAGACTTTGCAAATTCTAAATTGCGAAGCTATACCATAATCAAGAGGTGTACCCAAAACAGACTTACTTCCTCACAGCATGAGAAATTAACTGCCGAATCTCATTATTCACTGTGTGAATACAACACAACCTGACTCCTTTTCTTAGCCAGCTAGCTACATAAGCACAGCCAAAACACCTGAGTCTAAGAAATGTATACTCTAAATACTAAATACTCTAAATGCAACAAGTAAATCCAAGTCTGTTTTCAGTCTCACCTTGCTAAACCAGGATGTTTACTTCCTAAAGAACTAAAGAATTATCAGTAGAAGAATCTACCTTGGACTAACTGTATCCCGGGGAGTCCGGAGCCATTCTTGTAGTTTATCACTGGAAGCAACTCCCACTTTTACCAGGTATGAATATGGTTCTACACGGAAGGCCCAAAAGTGCTTCCCTTTTGTAATTCCAACATCTCCAATGATGTAGTCTAAGCTTGTGTAGTAACCCACTTGGATCCGCTCTGCAGCAAGCAGAAGATTAAATCCAGCTCTGCTCTCTACATGGTCTCTCTTCAAGTTCAGCAAGAGGTGTTCATTATTGTAGCCGCATTTTTCATCAAAAAGGAAACTGAAAACTGTAAACAGAGCAGAAAATTAGTCTGCAAATTGTTAGCATTTCTACAATCTATGGTTAAATTTAACAGGTTTTTCAAATAGAAATTACTGAAAAGATATAGGAAGAGGAATACCTCATTCTACCCTACACAAACTATGACAAAACAAAACCCCAACTTAGAAATAATTTCCAGTAAATTCTCTGTACCTGAAAATCTTCAGAAATTTCAAAGCAGAAGAAACATTTTAAATGCATGAGAAATTTATGAATGCAGTTCCTTGGAATAGATATAGCAAATCTATCCTAAGTATTTTACACTCTTGAATCTGTCCTTTTATCCCTAAAATAAGCGGCTGTACATTTTCAAAAATATCTGTGTGTTTTATTAAAATTTTATTCAAAATTTTATAAATATGGAAACTATTAGCAATTTTAATAAGGTCTTTTCCTTATCAATCAAGATGGCAGACATGAGAAACAGTGTACAGTGTTAAAAAATAAAGCACAGGCTTTGGGTTCAGAGAGACCTGGGTTTGATGCCTGGCTCAAGCATTTAACTAGAGTTTAACCTAAACTTTGATTTCCTCAACTACAGAATGGAGATAATGTTGCTGGTGAATTTAACGTTCTTTCTTCATCGCGAAGAATTTGGAGAATTCCAAATTCAAGAAGTGGATTTATTTAGAGAGAAACACACTCCACAGACAGAGTGTGGTCCATCTTGGAAGGCAAGAGGCCTTGGGAGAAACACACTCCACAGAGTGTGGTCCATCTTGGAGGGCAAGAAGCCTTGGGAGAAACACATTTCACAGACAGAGCGTGGGCCATCTTGGAAGACAAGAAGCAAGAGGCCTCGAAATACGGCGTGGTTAGTTATTATGGGCTGGATAATTTCATAAGCTAATGAGTAGGAGGATTATTCCAATTATTTTGGGGAAGGGGTGGGGATAGCCAGGAATTGGGCTACCACTCACTTTTTTTTTTTTTTTAACATCTTTATTGGAGTATAATTGCTTTACAGTGGTGTGTTACCACCCACTTCTTGACCTTTTATGGTTGGCCTCAAAACTGTCATGGTGCTAGCAGATGTGTCATTAACATGCTAATGTATTACAATGAGCATATGAGGCTCAAGGTCTACTGGAAGTCGAATCTTCCGCCATCTTGGACCTAGTTGGTTCTCACTAGTTTTCTTCATGTACTATGGCTACATCTTTCTTTTAAAGGTTGTGCCCTGCCCCTTCCCTCCTGTTTCAATAACACTACTCTTCTATCAACTTAAACCCATTAAGCCTAACATTTGGTGGCTGCTAGCCCCAAAAGTGGAAACATTCCAAACGCCCATCAATAGATGAATAAAGAAAATGTGGTATATACATACAATGGAATACTATTCAGCCTAAAAAAGCAAGGAAATTCTGATACATGCTACAACATGCATGAACCTTGAAATAAGCCAGTCACAAAAGGATTATGTGAATCCATTCACATGAGGTACTTAGAATAGGCAAATTCATAGAGGCAGAGGTAGAATAAAGGTTGCCAAGCTCTGGGGGAAGGGTGGATGGGGAGTTACTGTTTAATGGGCACAGAGTGTCAGTTTGGAAAAATGAAAAAGTTCCAGAGATTGTGAGTGGTGATGGTTGCACAACACTGTTGAATGTACTTAATGCCACTGATCTGTAAAAATGGTTAAAATGGCAAATTTTAACTATACAATACCACAATTGTAAAAAACTGTCTGCTAACAAGCTAAAACTATTCTCCATATGTGATTTGACCAGTCTTCCTGGTAATGCCTATTCCCCTGGCATGGCAATTCACACTGTCTCTCAATCTCAAAAGTCTCCCAGTTTGCAAAATAAATTCAAACGGTCACCCTATTCATGTGGTTTCTCTTGGAGAAAAGAAACACAGTTTTTAACGTTTCCTTTCCTCCATCCCCCTTCACTTTGTCACTGAAAACAGTAGCTACTTTCAGGTTTCCTTTTACTTCCAATTTCAGTCAGAGACTAGAAAAGAAAGCGGAAACTGCATAAACAGTAAAATATTTACTTAATACTTGCAAATGGATCCTAAAACTCTCTTTTGGATTTTATTAAAATTCAAGAAAAATAATTTGAGGCAACCCTATTTATTTGTATTTCTTTTTAATTAGCCACAATGTACATGAAAAACAGAGTGAATAGTACACTCTGGACAAAAAGGGAAGGATGGGCAGAGTGCACAAAATATAGGTACATAAGCCACTAACAATGGGCAGGAGCAATGAGGTCTAAAAGCCAAATAAAGGAATCTCTGAGGCCGTGACCAACTGGGCAGAATGATTTCCTGCTCACCAGGATGAGCACAACTTTGGTTCTAAATGTCCCTTATCCACGGAGACACTGTAGTGAACATCAACTTAACCTGTAAGTCATTCTCATTCTATAAAAATTTACAGGTGTTGTTTAAGTAGTATCAGTGGTTATTAACTTGGAAAGGGGAGGGAAGATTGCTGGGCAGGAGGAGCTTTTAGTGTAGGAAAAAGCTATCCATGTGGTTCTAATAACTGCCTTCCATCCCCATGTGCTCGTAATCACTGAGTTAGAAAAGCCAGACAAGTCAGAATTAGGTAAATTAAAATTATTCTTCACATTGTTGTACCAATAAATTTTTTAAATATCTGCCTAGAGTCTATGTTAATAGAGATTTCTATAAACTGATCAAAAATACAGAATTATACTATTTAATACTTGTAAGCTAGCATTTATGCTATTTTAATCCCAAATTAATAGCCCTGCTCACTCAAATGTCATGTTTTTTCTGTATCTGATGTCAGTCAGAAATCTAATCCTGTTCTCAGCCTAGATGGTGAAATTCAAGTATTCAGTCTATTTCTAAATCCTAGCTGGGTATGGAATCTACTTTTCTAGAGTATTTTACAGATGAGAGGTGGTTTTAATGTAGGTCTGCATGGACACATTAACTGGTTTATTTTTTATCACAGTCTTTTCCAACTCTATGCTTTTCTTATTCCCACTATTCACAATACCTGGAGCTGGAGGAGTATGAAGAATCAATTCCCTGCTGCAAGGACTGCAGATTGAACCCTTGTAGGCTCTTACTCTGAAAGCATAGTTACAATTACTTTCAAGATCGGAAATGACTTTACTTGTGCCACACACTTCTATCTCATTCCAAGACAACATTTCTTCATCTCTATTAATCTTCCGGTATTCGAGGACATAGCTATCAGCTTTATCCTTTTCTGGATGGTGCCAATTTATCAAAGCATTGTTATAAACTTTGCTCTGTTCCTCATTGATCTCTGGCACATCTATGCCTGAAAGAATTATGAAATAGAAAACAATGTTAAAATATTATTTCAGAACCTTTATTTTTCCTCAGTAAAAATGATTTATTGACAATAAAGGATTTCTCTGCTGTTCAAGAACTTTCTACATTTATAATACTGTGTATAAGAAAAAGAATAAATCCTGCAAATACAACAGGATGTTGGACTTTGAGGACATGCTAAGTGAAATAAGTGAGACATAGAAAAACAAATGCTGACTGCGTGATTCCACTTTCGTGAGGTATCTCAAGTAGCCAAATTCATAAAATCAAAGACTGGAATGGTGGTTACCAGGGGCTGAGGAGCAGGGAGAAATGGGCGCTTATTAATCAATAGGCATAAAGTTTCAGTTAAGCAAGATGAATAAGCTCTAGAGATGTGCTGTACAACTTGTGTCTGTAGACAACAATACTGTATTGTATACCAGATATAGAGGCTAGATCTCACGGTAAGTTTTATCATAATAAAATTTAAAAAGGAAAGTAAATTGAGATTTTTAAAAGGTATATTTATGTTTATAACTGAAAGGGGAAAGAAGAATGAAAAATAAGACAGACAAAATAAGTAAAACTCAATTTTAGCTTTACATATTAATTCTGAAACACCATAAATTAAAATTTTTAACCACATACTCTTCAATTTCCATCTACTGAATAACAACCCTAGACTTGAAATTTATGTGTCCTCCTAAAAATTATTTTAATAAATATTTTTAAATCTAAGTTTGGTCAGTATAATAATAAACAAACTTCAATAAAACATTATATAGTTTTCTTTCATATTATCTTCCACAGAGTTGCAAAGCAACTTATTTATTTATTTTAAAATTTATTTATTTATTTATTTGGCTGCACTGGGTCTTAGTTGGGCATGCGGGATCTTCGTTGCAGCGTGCAGGATCTTTAGTTGCAGCATGTGGACTCCTAGTTGTGTCATGTGGGATTCAGTTCCCTGACCAGGGATCGAACCCGGGCCCCCTGCATTGGGAGCATGGAGTCTTAACCACTGGACCACCAGGGAAGTCTGGCAAAGCAATTTAAATGACTTTTTCTTGGTATAAACAAGATACGTATTTTTTTAAGAAAATCAGAAACTACATAAAACACACACAAATTAAGTAACTCAAAGATTATCACTACAATAATTTTGTGTAGCTCCTGCCAGTGTTTTTCTTCCAGTGGCATTCCACTGTAGCAACATTTAACTATTTTCAGAAACATGTTTCCAATTTTTCACTAAAAATACAATGTTTAAAATATCACAGCTAAATCTTTGTGCATATTCATAATCTTTTCCATAGAATAAATTCCAAACAGCTTAACTGCTTTGGTCATATGGTAAAAATAAGCTATAGTAGTTACACATGCACACGCACACATAAATAAACACATATTTATATCAAATCACAGAGAAATACATGAAATGAAAAGCAGAAGTCTCCCTCTTCTCCTTATCCTCCAGCTATGTACAAGCAATGTACAGCATAAGTATGTCTGTGTGTGCATTTGTGCAACTGAATGTTATGCAGCCATGGGATCTGAAAAGTCATCCAAACTACATTTTAAAGTTAAAAAAGAAAAGCTAGTTAAAGAATAACATGACTGCAATGCTCTACGTGCATGCAGGAAAAAATGAGAAGAGCATCCATCAGCAGGAAGCTGGGTGACCAGCAGCAGCTTTCCATTCTGACCCACCCGTTTTACTGGTCCTTCGTTATGCACTGGTATAACCCGAGATTACCCACACTCAACTTCCTTTTTCCAAAGACTGTTTGGGGACCCCCAGGGAAGGGAGGACCTTGTACTCCTAAGTAAACTAGCATGTATATAAAAAACAATTCAAGTATACATTTTGGAAAAAGAAGAAAGTACAGTATATGAAATAGAATCAGCATTTCAAATATCACCACATATTTGGAAAAACAAGATCATCATAATAGACAAGAAAAGTATATACCTGACAGAGATACAGGTATTGATTGGAAGAGAAAGGTGGTCATAGTAATAATCCTTCAGCGTGTTTAACTTTTAAACAAAACAAATTTCCTCTGACTGAATACAAATCTATGTATCCATACCTGTACAGTAATTAAACTACAAGTGTACTTTTCCAAGGACTGTAATTGTTCACCATTATTAGAAGAGAAATCTGAGGGAGATGAACAACGTGAGAAGAAAAAAGGAAAGGTAGACCTCCCTGCTGGGGAGCAGCAGAACACAAACACAACCAAATGTGAGGGGCTGAGTTGCCCGCCCTAAAACACATATGTTGAAGTTGTAGGCCCTAGTACCTCAGAATGTGCCTTTATTTGGAGAGAGGGTCTTTAAAGAAGTAGCACAGTTAAAATCAGGTCGTTAAGGTGGACCCTAGTCCACTATGACTAATAGGACTGGAGTCCTTATAAGACGAAATTTGGACTCAGATATATATAGAGGGAAGACCACGTGAAGACACAAGAAGACGGCCATGTGCACACCTAGGAGAGAGACCTCAGAAGAAACCAACCCTGGCGACAGCTTCATCTCAGACTTCTAGCCTCCAGAATCCTAAGGGAATTCCCTGGCGGTCCAGTGGTTAAGATGTGGGCTTTTACTGCCAAGGGCCTGGGTATGATCCCTGGTCGGGAAACTAATATCACCGAAAGCCCCAAGGTGTGATTGATAGATAGATAGATTAGATAGATAGATAGATAGATAGATGGGGAACTAAGATCCCGCAAGCCCCAAGGTGTGATAGATAGACAGATAAATAAATAAATAAATAAAACCTTTTACTGCCAGAATCCTGTGAAATTAAATTTCTGTTATGTCACCCAGTCTGTGGTATTTAGTTTTGGCAGCCCTAGCAAACTCATACAACAATGTAAACACTTAAACATCTTAGAGTCATTTTTAGCCTGGAGATATCATTTCTAGGTTTCTGCCCTAGGGAAACTCATACACACGCACAAAGAAACACTGACAAAGATGTTCAACAGAGCGTTGCTTACAACAGAAAAAAAAACAGGAACAGACTGTCTCTCAGTGGGAAACTTACTTACATAATGGAATACTGTAAAGTTAACATATAGCTGTAAACCAGAATTTCATGTATTAACAAATATTTATCTTAAACTTAATTTCTCAAAAAAACAAATTACAAAAAAAGATACATACAATGTGGTGCCATTCACACAATGTTTAAAAACATACAAACCAAAAGAATCTAGCTTCTGTGCATAAAAACTTGGTTATAAAAACATAAATGGCATATGATTTTAGCATATGATGGTCTGGGCAACTGAGATGCTGCATTATAATGTCAAACTAAAGAGAATTTGTGTTTCTCCTACACAATGTGAATTCAAACTAAAAAAGTGAAGGTATGCTGTTACTAAAACTCACCACTAGAGAAAAAGGACAATTCTCCAAGAAGTTCTGTTTGTTTAGATGTATTAACAACATAGTCTTCAAAAGAAGTCTGAGCCGCAGGTCTAAAGCTCTTCAAAGATTCTGTAGCTTTCTGTATTCTACAGACAGACATAAAATATTTTACACAAAAATGATTCTTTAAAAAGGCAAATCAGACTAAGTATTTTCAATGAGATTAACAAAAGAAAACTTCACTCAACATTCAAGTTAAGAGTGAAGCAAGAGATACTGCACATAACACAGCATTCTGAACCACTCAGAGCTACAGCTGAAACATAAAGCAGCATTTAATGACACTGCTAGAGAGACTGTCAGTTCAAAGTTAAATACCTGAGGTGGAGCTGTTTTGCGGTCTGAACAAAGCAAGACTGATCTGTCTCCTTCAGCACTTCTTGAGCGTATCCCACGAGTCCGTTGTTCTCTAGCAGCCCCTGATACTCTTCCATTTGAGTCTGAAATTTGTCTAATCTTAGTTTCTTAGAAGCATCAATTGCCTTCAAAACAGATGATTTCCTTTCTTCTAGGATTTCAAAGAGCTTTTCAAAATGTGTAATTGCGTCTTCTTTAGCCCGCTCTCCATTACACTATTATAAAACAAGCAAAGCTTTACCTCATCTGCTAAATCCAAATGTCTTTTCAAGAAAGAGTCACAATTCAACAAAACGAACCCAAATACTGGAAAGAAAAAGATTTTGTCTGACTCCTTGTTTTCAGAACAATAATTTGGCATCAAATATGCTTACTAAGGAATGATCAGCAACTCTGAGACATACTTTGTAATTTTATAATACTATATTTCCTTAAGCTTTCAATCTCCAAAGTCCAGCAATAAACAATTTATTCAATGAAATAAGAAAGCAACGTTCAATTTGTATACAAAGGAACTTGAGGCAGAAATGAACTGATTTAACCAAAGACACAGGAAAATACAATCTTGCACTTATTTATTTTCATTCATTTCTAATTCAGGAAATTTTATCCTTTCTACCATATGCCAATTTTTTAAAAAGTTAAGCCACAGCTATGAAACTCAAAAAAATTACATCCTATACTAAGTAATAAAAATGTAACTCTCTTCTCTTCAAATTAATATTTAGTTATATATAATTGTAATTAAGCTGTAATTTAATTAATATTGATTTAATTATGTTATGCAAATTAACTTCTTTATGCTTAAGTTTTTCCTCTTCTGAAAACTAGGGGTAAGAGAGACCATTTAGGTTTTTCTGAAGATTGAAAAAGATTATTCACATAAAATGCCCACCACAATGTCACATACTCGCAATAAACATTATTTTCACTGCACACATAGCTATTCCTCTACTTTGCCATAAAATGATCCTCTCTGTAGTGCTTATTAAACATTTTGAATGTCCACAAAATCAGAGCTCGACCTGATTTTGAAAATAAGACCAGCAAAGCACTTACAAGCATTTATCATAATAGACTCATAGCAGCAGCCAACAGAAGAGTCTTCAAGAACATTCTTAAAAGCTGACAATATATGGTAGAAGTGCATTGCTCATTTTCCAATGGCTTCTGGCCAACATTTAAAATGAAAGGAAATTTTTTCCAGATTTCCTTCTCTGATTCCTAACCTCAACAGCCAATTTTTTTAAAGGAGGATAGGAGGAGAGAACAGAGGGTAGTGACATTCTGGTAGTATTTCAGTGACATATCACATTAAGTTCAGAAATATCATTACACATAGATCAAGAGAAGACTTTTTCCAGCTAAGTATAATTATAGGTAAAAAGACAGTGTCACAGTCTTCACTGAGTAAAATTCAAGAATGGAGACAAATTCTCTAGTGCAGAAGATTCTTACTGATAAGCCTGCAAATGCAGCTTAGGTCAAAGGCAAAAGAAGAGGTTAAATAGTTTCTCCAGGATCCCAAAGCATCAATGCCTACATGAATACTTGATGCCTGAGTTCCTCAGTTTTCAACCTACTGAATGACAAACTCAAAAACAAGCACTGGGTTTCCTTCTCTCAGAAGTAAAGGCAGGCTGACTGAGAAAACCAATAAAGACAAATCTAAAATTACCACAGACACAATCCCTGAAGCAACCTACTATCTAGATGATAATGTGCTATGTGTTCGGGGATTACAGTAAACTGAGAGAGTCTGTCAATCAGATACAAATGTGAGAAACAGAATCCTACTTTTAAATTACATGAAAATGCAATCTGTGACTAACAGAAAAATAATATTTAAAATATTAAAGCAATACTGGTAATATGGAGATTGGTTCAAGATGGCAGAGTAGAAGGATGTGCTCTCATTCCCTCTTGCAAGAACAACAGAATCACAACTAACTGCTGAACAATCATCGACAGGAAGACACTGGAATTCACGAAAAAGATACCCCACATCAAAAGACAAAGGAAAAGCCACAATGAGATAGTAGGAGGGGCGCAATCACAATAAAATTAAATCCCCTAACTGCTGGGTGGGTGACTCACAAACTGGAGAACACTTATACCACAGAAGTCCACCCACTGGAGTGAAGGTTCTGAGCCCCACGTCAGGCTTCCCAACCTGGGGGTCTGGCAAGGGGAGGAGGAATTCCTAGAGAATCAGACTTTGAAGGCTAGCAGGATTTGATTGCAGGACTTTGACAGGACTGGAGGAAAAAGAGACTCCACTCTTGGAGGGCACACACAAAGTAGTGTGCACATCAGGAGCCAGTGGGAAAGAGCAGTGACCTCATAGGAGACTGAACCAGACCTACCTGCTAGTGTTGGAAGGTCTCCTGCAGAGGTGGGCGGTGGCTATGTCTCACCATGAGGACAAGGACACTGGCAGCAGAAGTTCTGGGAAGTACTCCTTGGCATGAGCCCCCCCAGAGTCCGCCATTAGCCCCACCAAGGAGCCTGGGTAGGCTCCAGTGTTGGGTCACCTCAGGCCAACTAACCAACAGGGAGGGAACCCAGCCCCACCCATCAGCAGACAAGCAGATTAAAGATTTACTGAGCTCTACCCACTAAAGCAACAACAAGCTCTACCCACCACCAGTCCCTCCCATTAGGAAACTTGCACAAGCCCCTTAGATAGCCTCATCCACCAGAGGGCAGACAGCAGAAGCAAGAAGAACTACAATCCTGCAGCCTGTGGAACAGAAGCCACATTCACAGAAATATAGACAAAATGAAAAGGCAGAGGCCTATGTACCAGATGAAGGAACAAGATAAAACCAGAGAAAGACAACTAAATGAAGTGGAGATAGGCAACCTTCCAGAAAAAGAATTCAGAATAATGATAGTGAAGATGATCCAGGACCTCGGAAAAAGAATGGAGGCAATGATCGAGAAGATGCATGAAATGTTTAACAACAACCTAGAAGAATTAAAGAACAAACAAACAGAGATGAACAATACAATAACTGAAATGAAAAATACACTAGAAGGAATCAATAGCAGAATAACAGAGGCAGAAGAACAGATAAGTGACCTGGAAGACAGAATGGTGGAATTCACTGCTGTGGAATAGAATAAAGAAAAAAGAATGAAAAGAAATGAAGACAGCCTAAGAGACCTCTGGGACAATATTAAACAAAACAGTGTTCACATTATAGGGGTCCCAGAAGGAGAAGAGAGAGAGAAAGGACCTGAGAAAATATTTGAAGAGATTATAGACTAAAACTTCCCTAACATGGGAAAGGAAATAGCCACCCAACTCCAGGAAGTGCAGAGAGTTCCATACAAGATAAACCCAAGGAGAAACACGCCGAGACACACAGTAATCAAATTGGCAAAAATTAAAGACAAAGAAAAATTATTGAAAGCAGCAAGGGAAAAACGACAAATAACATACAAGGGAACTCCCATAAGGTGAACAGCTGATTTCTCAGCAGAAACTCTACAAGGTGATGAAAGGGAAGAACCTACAACCAAGATCATTCTACCCGCCAAGGATCTCATTAAGATTTGATGGAGAAATCAAAAGCTTTACAGACAACCAAAAGCTAAGAGAATTCAGTACCACCAAACCAGCTCTACAACAAATGCTAAAGGAACTTCTCTAAGTGGGAAACACAAGAGAAGAAAAGGACCTAAGAAACAAACCCAAAACAATTAAGAAAATGGTAATAGGAACATACATAGTGATAACTACCTTAAACGTGAATGGATTAAATGCTCCAACCAAAAGACACAGGCTTGCTGAATGGATACAAAACAAGACCCATACATATGCTGTTACAAGAGACCCACTTCAGACCTAGCGACACATTCAGACTGAAAGTGAGGGGATGGAAAAAGATATTCCATGTAAACAGAAATCAAAAGAAAGGTGGAGTCACAATACTCATATCAGATAAAACAGACTTTAAAATAAAGACTATTACAAGAGACAAAGAAGGACGCTACATAATGATCAAGGGATCAATCCAAGAAGATCTAACAATTATAAATATATATGCACCCATCACAGGAGCACCTCAATACATAAGGCAACTGCTAACAGCTATAAAAGAAGAAATCGACAGTAACACAATAATAGTGGGGGACTTTAACCCCTCACTTATACCAATGGACAGATCATCCAGACAGAAAATTAATGAGGACACACAAGCTTAAAATGACACAACAGACCAAATAGATTTAATTGATATTTATAGGACATTCCATCCAAAAACAGCAGATTACACTTTCTTCTCAAGTGCGCATGGAACATTCTCCAGGATAGGTCACATTGTGGGTCACAAATCAAGCCTCAGTAAATTTAAGAAAATTGAAATCATATCAAGCATCTCTTCTAACCACAACGCTATGAGATTAGAAATCAATTACAGGGAAAAAACCCGTAAAAAACACAAACACATAGAGGCTAAACAATACGTTACTAAATAACCAAGAGATCACTGAAGAAATCAAAGAGGAAGTCAAAAAATACCTAGAGAAAAATGATAATGAAAAGACTACAATCCAAAACCAATGGGATGCAGCAAAAGCAGTTCTAAGAGGGAAGTTTATAGCTATACAAGGCTACCTCAAGAAACAAGAAAAATCCCAAACAAACAACCTAACCTTACACCTAAAGGAACTAGAGAAAGAAGAACAAACAAAACCCAGGGTTAGCAGAAGGAAAGAAATCATAAAGATCAGAGCAGAAATAAATGAAATAGAAAACAACAGCAAAGATCAATAAAACTAAAAGCTGGTTCTTTGAGAAGATAAACAAAATTGATAAACCATTAGCCAGACTCATCAAGAAAAAGAGGGAGAGGACTCAAATCAATAAAACTACAAATGAAAAAGGAGAAGTTACAACAGACACCGCAGAAATACAAACCATACTAAGACCACTACAAGCTACTCTACACCAATAAAATGGACAACCTGGAAGAAACGGAGAAATTCTTAGAGAGGTATAACCTTCTAAGACTGAACCAGGAAGAAATATGAACAGACCAATCATAAGTAATGAAATTGAAACTGTGATTAAATATATTCCAACAGGGCTTCCCTGGTGGTGCAGTGGTTAAGAAACCGCCTGCCAATGCAGGGGACACAGGTTCGACCCCTGGTCTGGGAAGATCCCACATGCCGCGGAACAACTAAGCCCATGCGCCAAAACTAT